GTAGAGAAAGATTGGGAAGAAAGAGCATGACACTCTGGGATGTGCACATGTGAGGAGGAAGATGGCTGGGCTTGCAGAGACAGACTCAATCCACTCAATCTTGAAGGTCATCTCCTCTGGTTTTCTACATTGTCCAGCCAAAACCATCACTCCTAATATCTCTAGTCAATAAGTAAGCCCTGATTGTGAACTTACTAAATACACAGCTCGGTGAAGGAGTTGGAAATTTATAGATGCAATGATTATATTTGTATAAGCCTTAGCTCAGAGCATATAATCTGACAACATGACGTAATCAATATTTAAAATCCAAAAATATTCTGGAAAATTCAGGATTCACATATGAACGGTTTTTGTTCTGAAGCATTATTACATAATCTATTGTCTGAGGGTGGGGGTGAGAGAAGGTGGCACAGATTATTAGACAACTAATTTTAAAAGGTATCGCAAATGATGATGCTATGAGCCAAATATGAGCAGACAGTAAATGGGATGAAAGTTCAGAAGAGGAAGAAGCCATATTGGCTGTGGTAATAGTAAAACAGCAATAATACCTGGTATATAAACATTTATTGCATTTTGCTAGTAGTACTTCATATTTGTGGTTGAGAGTTTCCAACACTTTAATCTGAGTTATTCTCATCTGGTCTCATTAAGTCTTCATAACAACCTGTGAGTCAGGTATTATTAAATGAGGTAAAATATATAAAATACTTAGAATAGTGAATATTTGCTATTATTATTAATCCTATTTTATATTTGAGGAAACTGAGGCTCAGAAAGGCAGCTATTTGCCCCAAATCACAGAGTTGAGAAGTGGTGGAACTAAGCCCAGACTCAGCTCCCCTGGCTCCTATTTCTAGACCTTTCTTCATTATCTCATACATAAAAGAGGGGTATTTAAGCTGGGCTTGCCTAGGTTGGGCCAAGTTTGGAGGCAGCTTTAGCAGAGAAGCCTCTGAAATTGTGCTCCTCAGCCTCACAAGCCCTAGTTGGCAGCTGGATGGGAATCGATGAGGATATTCAGTTCTTTGAGTAAGAAGAGTTAAATCTAGAAGCCTCTACTCATTTTAGCAATAAGGGGAGATGGTCCATCAAGGAAACTGCAAGCCATTAAACTCACATAGATCCTCAGCTGCTAGGCTTGTTAAGAAAATGTTACAATAGAGGGAAATTGACAACACAGGCCCCATAGATATTTTTAGTCAGTGCTTTGAGGATGTACATCTTGGGTTCTGTTTAGGATCGAGCACAAGGGGGTGAATTTGGATTGATTTGATGAGACTGCCAGTCAGAAAGTCCTTACTGAACACCTTTTTTTGTGCCCAGCTTATGCAAGGGATTGTGTTTTTGTGGAGGGAGGGGATCTAAGGGAGGTAAGATTACTTTCTCAAACTTTCAAACACTGGGGAGGGTGGTATAATCTTTTTCTTAGGTGGAGGGCAGTGTGGCAGTATCAATGAAAACTATAATTGTGTCTATTCCTTGCAACAGCAATTCTGCAATAAATTATTTGTCCTTATAATGTACATCATGGTGACTATAGTTAATAATGTATTGTATACTTGAAATTTGCTGAGATCATAAGCATTCTCACCACACACACACAAATAGTTGGTAACTATGTGAGGTGATGGATGTGTTAATTAACTTGATTGTGGTAATCCCACTTCACAAAGTATATGAATATCAGATAATCATAGTGTATACTTTATATAGATACAATTTTATTTGTCAGTTTTAACTTGATAAAACTGGAGAAAATAAGTTATTTATCCTATGGATATCTTCTTAGATGTAAGCCATTGTAGCACTGTTTGTAATAGCTAAACAACCCAACAACTAGAAATCTGAACGCTCACCAATAAATATTGGTTAAATTACTATATGACCTTCAAGTGGAATTTATGTAACTATTAAGAAAGAGGTCCATCACTATGTGCTGAAAGTATATTATCACTAAGATATATTTTTAAGTGCAGTGAAGATCAAAGTTCAAAAAAAAGAAGAGTTTATACAGCATGATGCCATATACATATTTGAAGCAAATATGTATATAGATATATGCACACATTTTCCCCACATTGGAAGGCTACGCTTACAACTGATAACGGAGAATATGTGTGATGAGAGAAGAATGAGAAAGGAGAAACTTATTCTTCATTTTATCCTTTATGTACTTTTGAAAATATATTGATCGGTTTACTATCAATTGGTTTACTGTATGACATACTATTTTTTAAAAAAATTTAAGCCATTTGCCTAAGTTCACACAGCCAGGAAAGGGTGCAGCTAGGAGTCCCACCCAGACTATATGATTCCAGATCTCTGTGATCCATAATCCTTCTGGGTTCTAGCATACTGCTTCCTAACAGTGCTCTCTTAGTATCAGGAAGTACTTCTGTCTCTTGCTTGTAAGTTACAAAATTTTTCATGAAAATACCTGGAACCAAAACATTCAAAGGCTGGGAGCTGGGAGAATGTGCTCATTTTACAGAGTAAGGCTCTGTGTGCCATGTGCCTGCCATTTTGGCTCCTTTTCTCCAAGATTGTGGCTCAGCCAAGAGAGGTCAGTGACCCAGAGCCAGGACACACAGATTAAGATTTCTAACAGGACAAATTACCTTAAGGAAAATGCATTAAGATAATTGGAGAGATGGGGGTGGGGAGAAGGCATGAAAACAGTATCATTAGCCAACTTGGTTAATGGGCAGGTGCAGGAAGTGGCAGATAAACCCAGCCAGAATCTATAAATATACTTCAATATTAATGTTCAAAACCCACAAAATAAATGAATTAAAAAATTTGGCAGCATGTCAATACCTGGATATAAACTCCTAGTTCTAAGCTTAACTCTTATGAACTTTTCTGTGATTTGGGCATATTATTTAACTGTTCTGGGTTTTAGTTTCCCTATTAGTCAAATGGACAGCAGTATCTGTCCTGGCTGCCTCACAGAGTTGTGAGGCAAGCAATGTGCCTTGAAAATGCAAGGCATACAGAATGATAAGTTATTGTTAACGTTGCTGAGACTTACCTCACAGAAGGAGAGCTATATTGAGACAGGAAGGTAGAAAGAAGCATCCAAAAAGCTGGTAACAAGGTAGACACACCTCACTAACATAAGAAAGGAACCTCATGTGTCATTTATTCAAGTTCCTCCTTTTTTATAGTCATGGACAAAGGCCTACAGAGTCCAAGATCTGCAGAGCAGTATAGTGTCATATGTAGACTATTATTTAAACCCATAAATAAGATGGAATAGTAGCCAAAGGGATGGGATACGCTACAGGCCTCTTGCCCAAGGGGCTTGCTGAGCCATGAATGTTGAACAGGGTCCTGGAAGCAAGCTGATGAGGCTTAGTAAGGAATTAGGGCAGAGGTTGGGGATGGACTTCAGTGCTTTAACTCCAGGATGGCTCAGTGCCTCTGAGGAGCAATTTGAGGGTGGCCAGGGACTTGGATAGGACAAATGACAACTTCCTAGAACGGACTGTTCCAGAGCCCAGAGAGGAAAGGAAATGGCCTGGCCTTATCCTGGGTAGTTCACAGGAACCAGGGTAGGACGTATTTGTAGTAGAACTAGTGCTCACAACAAGTCTCTTTTGAGCGGAAGAAGGAAAATGGGGTGGGGGTAGGGAGACATGCAACGCAGCACACATGACAAGTCAGGTTTTGTAATGGTGGGAGTGAAGATGGAGAGGATGAATCAACAGAGGGAGATAGTGCTGTGCAGTGCCAAAGGCAGTGGACTCAGACTTGGGTGTGAATACTAGCTCTGTCACTAACTTGCTGTACAACCTTGAACATGCCATTTTCCTCCTCTGAATCTTTCTTTCCTCATCTCAGAAATGAAGACTTTTCTCCCTGACCTTGAACACGCCATTTTCCTCCTCTGAATCTTTCCTCATCTCAGAAATGAAGACTTTTCTCCCTATCTCATAAGTTAAGAGGATTAAATGAAATGTTCTTGAAAGCAACTAGCACACAATTCCTAGAACATCATGCCCAATATGTTAATTTTATCCCTTTATTTTGGAGAGGGATTTCTAGAAAATTTCCAATGAAACATGCTAATTTGAAGTTTCAAGCACTTAGGAAAGCAAGCCAGACCTAGCTAACAGGTATAGTGTGGAAAGAAAAGCTCTTTTTACAAATGTAGAAAAGGTCTAAGTGGGCAGATAAGAAAATCTTATGGTGGGGAACATAGATTAAAGGCAAAGTAGGAATGGATATAGATATAAACATAAACACAGTCTACTTCATAAAGAGGCTGTGAAGTCATTAATGCATTAATGTGAGGTTCTTCCAGACTCATGACAAAATGTAAAGATAATAAATACTGTACATTAGCCTGACTTTTTTTTTTTTTTTTGACTGCTCAGAAATACAGGATAGGTTTTGTGTTCAATTATAGTAGCTTCCTCGGCATCCTCCTTTTATTTTTCTGGTATAATTAACTCTTTCTCATTCATTGGTTGTCCTTTCATCCTTGTTTTTGGGGGTATGTTATTAACTTAATCAAATTATTTAAAACCCTTTTTGGAAGTATGGGTATAAAGAGGCAAAATAATATCAATTTCTTTAAAAGTAAAATTCCAAAGGTGAAAACCAATTAGAAAATCAGAGTGAAATGTCAGATAAGGGAAAATAAACTATCGATGACTGACTTAGTCTTTACGAGGATTAACATTAGAGAAAGTCTTACTTCTAAACTTCTTTGGTAGCCAAAAGACTAGGAATATTATCATATATTACAAAAACCAAGAATGCTCTTTGATTTCTTTTATAGGCGGGCGAGTTGGGCATAAAGGAAAGGAAGTGTTTTGCTTGAGTCTCTCAGTTGGGGTGATCCAACAGCAGAGTTATTAACCCTAACCCAGGTCCCTTGACTGTCATTCCGGGGTTCTGTCTGCTATAAGTTCACTTTTGCAATAGTGAATTGTTAACCTTAAACACTTGTACAAAACTAATTTGTGTGTGTGTTTTTATTTTTCCAGGGCCAAGTGCTTTCGGGGCAAAAAAGTCCTTGGAGATTATGATATTAAAGTGGAACAGGTAATCGGCCTAAAGCCCAGAGCTGCATCTGCGTCATTACCAGTCCCTCTTGGCATTCCAGAGTAAACCATCTAGTTCTGCCGAGTGGAGTACAGTGTTCATCACTGGGTTTCAGGCCCTCCATCTCCTCAACCCCACCCTTTCCCTAGGGCTTTTCTCTTTATGAGACATGGTCCTGAAGGTTGCATCTTTCAATGTATGACTTCTTTTCATGGTTCTGGTGTCTGTAGAGAGGCAAGCAGTGTGGCGCTTAGGGTACTCTTGCTGTGCAGGGTTCTCAGGCTAATGAAAACCTTAAAGGAATGTCTTCTCAGGACCCTGGCCATACCTCTGAGTTATTGGTGGCATGGTATTCCTGAGTAGGCACACATCTGCCATTCAGAGGTACCTACCCTGGGCCTGAGGCTACTACACTTCAGAGAGAACTTAAAAAAGAACACCTCCTTGTTTTAATGCAGCGAAGTCCTGAAAGGCTCATTTTTTATCTTCCTTTATTCTTTGCTTCATGATAAATTGAAATTAGATCTATTTGGGTAGAGAGGGGATGCCCAGTTTAAATAATACCTGTGTTTTCTGTGTAATAATGGAAGTTAATCATCATTCCTTGTACAGTGTGCTGTGATTTATAGAGGGCTTCCCTATCTATTATTGCATTCAGTTCTTAAATTAATAGGCAGGGTTGATAAAAATTTTTCTCATTTTATACATGGGAGAAATTATCCCCCCAGAGAAGACAAGTAACTTGCCTAACATCTTACACAGCTAGCTGGGGGCAGAGCAGAAACAAAACTCAATAGTCTAAACTAAAACCTAGTGCTTTTATGTTGAAACTGATAAAGGGCATGTTTGCCATGGTTCACATTTCTGCTCTCAGAGAGGCAGCACAAAGAATGCTGGTCTGGGAGTCTGAAGACCTGAGTTTTGTTCCTGTCACTGCCAACAATGCTTTTTTTGGGGGTGGGGTGCGGGGGGTGGAGAAAGGGGAATGGGGGAAGGGTTCTCTTAACAGCTCTTTGGGTAAATGAGGATAATTATCTCTGTCCTTCCTGCCTCATAGAGTTTCTATGAGAGTTGGATGAGACTAGTTTGTGAGAATGCTTTGAGAACTGTAAATAAAATGTTTGGTGGTAGGGATGTTGCCGCTGCTGCTGTTGCTGCTCCTATGTGGAGGACTTAGCAAAGTTAGGACTGTGGGTTTATTCCCCTACTGTTATTTTTATTTTTTTATCATAGTAAAAAACACATAACATGAAATTTACCCTCCTAATCCTTGCTGTTACTTTCCAGGCAGAATTTTCAGAGCTCAACCTGGTGGCCCATGCAGATGGGACCTATGCTGTGGATATGCAGGTGCTCCGGAATGGCACAAAAGTTGTCCGGTAAGGTCCTTTCTGTCCTCAGGGTTACTGTCACTGTCTCCATAGTTACCATCTCTGGCTTGCAAAGTGGTTTCGAAACCAAGTGTTGGAGTGGGATAAAGTGATATTGTGTAGTGTACAGAACTTAATGTTATGTGTACTGTGTACAAGTAGTAGAGGAACACAGAGAAAATCAGCTCCTACCTCAAGAAGCTCTTAGTCCGATGGTAGAAAAAGCTTCATGGACTTAGCGCTTACTTAGAAGTAACTGGATTCATGTCAGAAGAGTTCTAGGACTTAGGCCCCACCTCAACCACTGTAGCTCTATGTTTTTATCTCTGCATATATCTCCCTTGGAAAACTGGATTCCATTGCTTCAAAATTAATTGAAAACTTCTGATCTATTTAAATCTCTTCACATTGATTTGCTTAGATTCATTCACTGAGTTGGTAGCAGAGCCCTGTGTTCTGTGTGAATTCTATTAAATCCCAGTCCTGTGTTCTTTTTCTATTTTTTATTCCTGGGAACTCATAAGTCTGATAGGAAAGACTACAGTCAGAAGAGATATTGTGGGTGGAAGAAAATTTGCAATTACAGAGCACTTACATGCCAGGTAGTGTGCTGGGTGACTTATAGACGTGATCAAACGTGACACAACAATTCTGTGAGGGAGTTGATGAGAATTCCAGATGGAGTAAAATGGTTTCCACAGTATTCTTCTTCCCAGGGGCTCGGTTTGACTTCAGGTTTTCAGATGTCAGAGTCTTGCTCTAGGAAGTATTTCACTTCACTCTCTTCCCTACCTCAATCTGTAGTACCCTGACACTGAAGCCTCCAGTATCCAACAGGAACTGGGTCAATGACAGGAAAGGCAAGACTCAGGTGTTTGGAACCTAACAACAGGAAGCGTGAGCTCATCCATTCTGGAGACTAAGGAGGACAGAAAAAAAGGTGTCCATCCAGGAGGGAGTAAGCTCAGGGAGATCCTACAAGAGAGATGATAGGTTTCTCCAATAGCAGGTAGAGTGAATCATAGGGATGCATGCACACAGCAGGTGGTGACAGGGTCCTGGGAGGGATCTGACCAGAATAAAGCAGGCCCTTCCAGATACCAGTGTAGGAACTCAAGAGCTGTCCACTAGTCTAGAGCTCAGTTCCTATAACTGAGATATAAGGTTTGATCTTAGGCATACAGATGGAGCCAGTTTTCCAAAACTGGGAGGTCAGAGCAGCTCTAACACATGCCATACTGGCTTAATGCTAAGTTCCCTGAATGACTGAGGAGGGCTTCTTCCACTCTCACTTTAAAAGAATGATCTTTGAGCCTGGGCAGGACTGGAGCAGTAGGTGGGGGTTGGGTAGGTGCCTGGGCTAAGAACCAGATAGGTCATTGCACAGGGGGTGAAACTGCCAAGTCCTAGAGCCTTGAGGGTAGATGCTGCCACAGAATAGAATCTTTGGGAAGATGGGGTTCCTCAGGAGTAAGGGCATGAAGACAGGAGCCCTGGTCCTGTAGAGCAGCTGTGGCTAGGAGCTTTGCCGGCTAGAGGTGAAATGCAGGGAGCCTTCCCATGCATGGGAACATTCTGTACTCTCAGTGCTTCCTGTAGCTGTTGCTCAACCTCAGTTCTGCAAAAAATATTTGCACCTCTCCCTAGTGTCCGCTTTGGAAGAATAACATTGGGAAGTCTGGCATCTGGACACTTGCTCTCTTGGGGACCCGATGAAGGCATTGCCTATTTTAAGGAGCAGCATTAAGGAGTCAAAACAGGACACTGAAATAAGAGATATCCATGGTAGAATGGTCAAGTCAGCGAAGCATGTTGTCTTCAGAGTCTTCCGGCACTCTCTTGGAGTACCAACTCTGGAGCCACATAGTGACAGGGGAAATTCTTATTCACTTAAGGTGTGAGAGTCTAAAATGCTTTCTTCCCTCCTGAGAGCATTTGTACCTTAGAAAAAGGCAGCGCTTAACCTAGAGGAATAAGGGCATTTCAGAAATCTGTTTCTCAAATCTTCTTTGAGATGTGCCATAATACCTCATTTCTAGTTCATAGAGAAATAATAACAAAATGAAGGACTTGGACCAGGTGGCCCCTAAACTCCCTTCTCTGTCTTGGGCTTTGGAAATGGGAGACAAAGTGATGTATATATGACTTGAGGTGCTAGTTAATGGCACACTTGCCTCTACCTTCTTACAAGGTCCTTCCGGCCAGACTTTGTGCTCATCCGGCAGCATGCATTCGGCATGGCAGAGAATGAGGACTTCCGTCACCTGATCATTGGCATGCAGTACGCAGGCCTCCCCAGCATCAACTCACTGGAATCCATTTACAACTTCTGTGACAAACCATGGGTGGTGAGTGAGGGTCCCTTCCCCCAGGTAAAAGTGTAGGATCCAGGTCTCTCATAGCCACACAACGTTATTCTATTACGAGCTTTTTCTGGGTAATTTCACTCATCAACCTCTAACTACAACCTCTCTGTGCTGCGGTTTCTTTGTCTGTAAACTGCCACCAGTTTCCCAGCCTGGTTGTTACAGTACCCTAGTATTTTGGGTCTCTTATAGAAACTAGTTCCCTGCTTTATGTTTCAAAACTGTGCCAGGGAGGGGAAAATCAGAAAGCCTACGCCTAGGGCTTTGCCCCTTCTGGGATCTGGGCTCTGGTGAGGGTTCACATTCTCACCCATTCACAATCGCAGCGCATTGCCTTTGGCAACACAGGAGAACAGCAGGGCTCCCTGGACAGACTTCAAGTTCTCCCTTCATTTTAACTAAGCAGCTGCCACATTTATGGCATTTTATATACTATTCTCTGCAATTTATGGGAGTGGACAGATTTGGTGACTATTGCGAAGCAGGGGGTACCTCTGAAATGATAACTTTAGTTCCTGTTTTCTAAATTTCCTTGTCGTGGGTGCTTTTGGTGTGAGGAACGGCCTTAGTTGGAAAAGGCTCTACCTCACATCACTGTCTTTGAGCACATCTGCCATTTCATAAATTCGTCATGCCAGGCACACTGTGATTTTGGAAGCAGAAGTGGACCTATCAATGAAAATAGCATTCCAGGGAAAGCAAGAATGTCACCATTCCATATTGTTGCAAATAAACCCTGTCACTCTTTCTGGGTTTTTTAGAGACAGATACACTAGGGTTGAATTAAGCATTTTATTTCTAGGAGGGATAAGGATAACTTATTAAATTCAGACTGATCTTGAAATCCCATTTCTTCCAAAATTTTCCTTGATTCATTGCATAAGTGGTTATAATGAACATTATCTTCCTATTTGTTGCCAATATCACCCCCGGATCCCAAATCCATCCTTTTGTCTATGCATAAAGTAAATAACCCTTATCAGATATTACATTTGCTTAATTGGTGACTGTGTGCCTGTGACTTAATCTAAGTTTCCAAGGATGCAAGGGTTAGATGCCAAGCCCAGTACCTTGAGCAGACAAGGACTGCTAGAGATAAGGTGGAAGAGGGTAGAGTGAGCTCCTAGGGGCCCAGCTAATGCCTGGGAACTGGCTACCATTTTAATCTTGGCTGTCCCAGGACTCTGGGAGTCTGCCGTGGGCCTTCCTGGCATCAGTGTCGTGTCTGTGTAACTCTGCTACATGCTGGCAAGATAGGGACCCACATGCCTTGGTGCCATGCCAGGGCGTAGGCTGCAGCAGGACAGAGGTTGTAGGCAGAGCTGGCTGGGGATGCTGGGGAGTCTTGGGAACTCAGGCAGGTATCCAGAGGCAGAGCAGGAGTCGGCCAAGCTGAAGTGGGCAGGCAGGGTTTAAAGGTCAGATGAAGTGGAGGAGAGAATCAGACGAGGCAGGAAAGGTATGAGGGGCTGGTCTTGATAGTCAAAGCAAGTTCAAGAACCAAAGAATGGCAAGGACAGGAGGGCACAATGGAGAATGCCTTGGCGAGAAGAGACCTGGGTGCTGTCCCAGTGCAGCCCCAACTCCAGGCATGATCTGGGAGCCTGCCTTCCTTTGCTTCTCTCTAGCCTCAGTCTCCTCATTTGTAAAATAAGATGTTTTGTCCAGAGGTCTCTAAAGTCTCTTTCAATAATGAAACGTTAGGGGCTTGAGAGTCTGTGAATTAGAGATTTGGAGTCATAAACTATATGTCACTAAGTGAAGTGACCCAGAAATTCCAACATTTTCCCATATTTCAAAAACAATAACAAAATTCTATCTTTGCCCACAGAAGGACCACAACAGATGACCACTTGAACTGCCATTTGATAATGGAGTTTGGGAGGAAATATAACAAAATTTTAATGGTAAAAAGTTTAAGGACTGATCTAATTCAATTCTCTCATTTTACATATGAAGAAAATGAGGGCTAGAGAGAAGAAATCATTTGCCAAAGGCTACCTAGCAAGTTAGAGGGAGAACAAGAATCAGAAGACTCCAGTTTTCTAGCAACCAAGTCCTGAGTTGTTTACAACTCCAAACCTATCTTCCTCACTGGCTCATGTGCCACAACATCCATTATAGAATAGGACCTAGGATGTTGAAAAATGTTCTAGCTTTCCTTTCTCTGATAAATGGAAGGCAGGTTTGATCTGGTAACTTTTCCTTCTAGCAGTTCCAGATACTGGGTTAGACTGTAAAAATAACACTAGAGTGAAGATGCTGGATTACTGTTTCTGTCAGTGCACTGGGGATGAGTTTGTGGGAATGTGTGTGAATGGACTGAGCAGGAAAGTCCTCTGTGTTTCCTGTGTGAAGAGCATGGTCTCTGTAGAAACTGAAAGGCAACTACTTAAATAGGAAGAGTTAAAGAATGAGAATAAAGGGGCCTGGCTATGAATCTGACTCAACTACTGTATGATCTGGGGCAAGTGACCTCTCTGGGCTTCAGTTTCTTCACTTATAAAATGTAAGGGAGTGAAGCAGGAGTGCTAGATGTTTGCCAAAGAAAGGCCTTTCAACCCTGACACTATAATTGTGTGTACTTCACCTCTCCCTCATGGAGCTGTTCTGCTTTCTCATAGGTGAAGAGTCCAGCTGAGTTCAGTTCTTAGATGAGTAGCAAGACCCAGAAACATTAGGTCTGTCTATTCTATATACCATGACCATCAAAACCTTCCTGCTTCTTTCATGACCCCCCTGCTCAAACTCTGATGACTCCATACTACCTATAGGAAATACCATTCCTTTGCCTGGCATTTGAAATTCCAAGACTTGGCCCCATGTTACCTATCCAGCTTCATCAGTTGCCAGCTTGAGAGATGCGGATGTTTAGAATTAGAGACCCAAATTGCAATCCCAGCTTCACCTCTTTGCAGTTTGGTGACTTTAGGTAACTCCCCTACCCTCTCTGAGTCTCATATATAAAATGATGATAAAGTACCTAGTTCCTCAGTTTAATATGATTGAGTGAAATATCATTAAAATTGAGGAGGTACTGAATGAATGTTACCTCATTCTCACCTTTCCCCAACTAAAGAATATGTTTCTTGAGGATAGGAATCGTTCACTTTTATATCCTCAAAGCGCTTTGCACAAAGCTCTCAACAGAGCAAATGCAAAATAAATCTTTGAATGTTGTTTTGTTTGTCTGTTATCTAGATAAGCTGAAACATTTGCTTCTCTCTTGCAGTTTGCCCAGCTGGTCACCATCTACAAGACACTGGGAGGAGAAAAGTTCCCACTCATTGAGCAGACATACTACCCCAACCACAAAGAGATGGTAGGTGATTGAGCGGAGACTTTACTCTCTCTGCTGTTTGTACTCTGAGCTTATTCACATGTGATTATGGGACTCTAAAGAGGGCCTTGGCATTTCACCCCAGAGATTTTGTTGGGGTTGAACTGTGGACCTGCTTTGTGGGGCCAGAGTGGCTGGATTTTAGCTGATAGCCCTGTCTCTAAGATCTGGAGACAAAATAGGGAAGAGCAGAAACAAGCCAGTTTATCAAGCTGAGAAAGGAGTAAACTTATAGATCAGCAACCAGAAGATCCCACTGTTTAGGGTTCTAGCCCTGGCCCTGCCACATATCATTGGACTAGTTACATTCCCTCACTATATGTACTTTCCCAATTGGAAAGTTAAATGGGTGTAATTATTACTGACCAAGATATCTAATTTGGTACTTACAAAATTTAAGCGAGATTCTTTAAGTAATTGCCTCCTGGAAAAGTGTGAAGTGCTCCTCAGATATAAGGTGTTGTTTTGTAATTACCAAGTCCTTCTATTCCCTTGATTTTGTCAAGATTTCGATAAGATTGGGTTAACACTGTGCCTTCTCTGAGACTGTCCAAGGATATCAGAAGGAGCAGAGAGATGGCATGGTTGGTTGGTGCAGAGGCTGTTGCTAATGTTTCCTTCATGGAGACCTTGAGCTCAATCTCTTTCTCCCTCTCTGTCCCCACATCCTCTGCCCCAGGCCTTCATGGTCAGTTGGTGTTCCTATTTAACTCACTGATGGAGACCTCCTGCTCTAGCATTCCAGGCGTACTCTGGGGTAGAAATTATGTGTTTCCCTTCTACTCCCTTCTCCAAAAAGGATCTCCACTTGCACCAGTTCTGCGAATCAAGAAACTTCTGGTATATTGTGCATGGCCCTGCTTATCAGCAAACAATATGCAGAAGATGAATAACAATGACCTTGGGCTTTGAAAAGAACTACCTCCTTCATCTTTGTCAGAGCTTCCTCAAGGAGAGGCTCTGGAACTTTAAGCCCTTGTCCTTAATAAATCATTGAGACCAACAGCAAGGCTTTTCCTTTCAGGGCAAGCCAGGAAGCCTTGCAGAGGCTGAGGAACCCTAAGGGGTCTGTGTTTGGAGTTCTCCAGGAGTCCAAGACACAGTGGTGAGGGGACTGAGTTTAAGGGACGATGAGGAGCAAAGTTGGATTTTTCCTATTGTAATATCTAGCAGGGCTAACCTCCAAAAAAATTTTTAAAAATTGCAAAGTATACTCCCCATCTACCATCCTTTTCCCACAGGGGCCTTGTGTTATTTTTCTTCTGGCCCCTATCCTAAAATTTGCCCTCAAGTGAAGACCTCCTAAGATATCTCTGAGGTGTCAAAAATTAAATTGAAATTTCATCTCTATAAGAGAAAGGCTTTTTGGCTTAAAAAAGTTCTAAAGTTGGAATGAAGACATTACTAATCAGTAGAGAATTTCTAAAAGAAACAGAAGAGAAGCCTATGGACATCAGTTAAGGGCATTAAAGTTAGTTCACCTAGAGAGATAATACCTAAGTCTATTCTTGTCCAAAGAGGTGTGCTAACTGTGCCAGACCATCTGCCAGAAATGGTATAAAGGGGATTACAGCGTGTGGAGGGAGTTTAGGTCATTGTAGGTCTCACATTGAGTGACTCCGTGACCATGCAAGTCACATCCCCAAACAGATGAAAGTGTATGAGAAGATTAGGATGAGTTGAGATTTCAGTAGAGCAAGGGACCCCAAACCCTGGGCCTAGACCAGTACCGGGCCCAGTAGGAGGTGAGCAGCGGGCGAGCTAGCAAAGCTTCATCTGTATTTGCAGCTGTTCCCCAGCACTAGCATCACTGCCTTAGCACCACCTCAGGCATTAGGTATTCATAGGATCAGGTCAGGTATTAGATCAACAGGTATTAGATTTTCATAGGAGCACTGGTTTCCGGTGCCGAAAAGGTTAGGGACCGCTGCAGTAGAGGATACACAGCCACAATATGTTGTTCTTTTCATTTTTGCAAATCAGCCTGTTATGATAACTGTCAACTTGCCTTCTTGTATTGCACATCAGAAGGCTACCCCTTCTCACATGTATAACATTCACCATTTCTCCCATCAGATCAATTAATGTAAGAGAAAACATATTTTCCTAGGGAGAAAAGGGAATATAGTTCTGGCTCTGGAAAACAAACTAAGCCAGAATCAAAACTTTCAGTAACAGGTACCGGCTAGACTAAAAGGGTTTGGGAGGCAGGGGAGAAGGTCTGAGGGGAGGACAGAAAAGCCATGCTGCTTTCCTTAGCGTTTGACAGGTTCTGGGCTGGGGTCGAAGACACAAGCTGGAAGATGCCCCATCCCTGCTCTAATGCCATCCTTTTGGTATTTCCCATTGGCTGGCAACGATGAGGCCGGTGGTGACAGCCTGAACTCTGCAAAGGAGGAGAACTGGGTTGGTCTTCAGGACTCCCAAAAGAATGTGGTGGTCACTGGTCGGCACTAGGGCTGAATGATGTCGACAAATTCCTTCCTGAGGGTCAGGTGTCCCTGGTACCAGCTGCAGGTGCCATCAACATTCTTCATGCACACATAATGCTGGGCCTGGTACCCATAGAGCTTCCGTTCCAATAGCCAGTCTGTCCAGAGGCACTCATTGGGGGCCGAGATGGTACAGGGCACTGTATAGCAGGTGGTGATCTAGAGTCATAGCCACACAACATCAAAGTGAGTAAGGTGTCCTTTTTCTTTTATTGCCTTTCAGACTCTTACATATCCTTACAGTCTAGCTCAAATGCCCCTGTCATATGAAGCCTTTCCAGTTTCCAAAATTCTCCTTCCCCTGTGTTCCCCACATACAGTATTGCCTCTCTAATGGCATCTCTGGAGTCAGACAAACCTGAGGGTCCTTATTCTGCCACTGACCTTGAGCAAGTTACTTTACTTCCTAGTGCATTAATTTCTTCACCTTAAAATTGAAATCCTAATTCTTCACACATTTGTTATAAAGACTAGATTAAAATATTTTAAATAAATTGACCATTACGGGGCTTGGCAAAGAGTAGCCTCTCTTTAAACGGTAGCTATATTACCTCAGTCTGCCTTATATTATGGCTACCTTCCCTGCCAAAATATAAGTACTTTGCAATCAGGGACTATGGACCATCTTGCTTTCCCATTCGCAACTTCATATGGTGCCAGATCCACGGCAGATCTCAAGTATACTCTAGTAAGTGAATAAATGCATGCATGAAGGAAAGAATACATGAAGGGTGAGGCTGCAAGCTTCAAGACCCTTCCCCACCCACAAAAGACCTTGTAAATGGACATCTCTTACTTGGCAGCCACAGTTCAGGTGGTAGTGGTGATTCAGACTTTCTCTCTGCAAAAAGGATAAGTTCTCCCAGGGCTCAATGTAGTTACACAAATGGATGAAGACCTTGCCATCGTTGAGGACCTGACCTTCAAGGGGAGATGGAGGAGAACCTAGCATGAGGAATCTGCTTGTGAAGCTCCAGGAGCCCAGTTCCTTGAAGAGCTCAGAACTGAAGCCTTTTCAATGGCTTTTAGGTGGCATTGGTAACATAAGGCTCAATGAAGGGACCAGAAAAACCTCTATAATATTTATATCAAAGATTATGTTTGTAGAAAGAAGAGTTGTGGGATGAAAGCCTTTTCCTTTAGCATGGTGCAGAGAGAAGAACATGGGCTTTAAAGTCAGAGTCTTGGTGGAACGCCCTTCTTTTCTATTATTTACTAGCTGTGTGACCTTAAGAAAGTCATGTAACTTCTCAAGTGGAAGATGAGAATTATATGGTTATTGTCAGAATTAAATGAATATTTTAAAAGTTCCCAGCACACAGAGGATGCTCAATAAATAATAGGTCCCTTCCCCTTTCCTACCCTTCCCAAATATCTACGCATACCTGTCTTAGTAAGTCTTTCCCCTTCCCTATAAGAAAGTTCCCCTTGTTTACTTATCATACTCTTTCCTATCTTCCAAAGACACTTTTCAGTACCACCTCATCCTCAAAGCCATCCCTGACCATGTGGTCCACATTTCTTTGAACTTTAGTTGCTCAATCATTTATTTACTGGGCAACTACTGGACCTGGTACCAGGAATACAGAAATAAATATGACAGGATTTTTTCACTCAAGGAGCTTAAACTAGTAGGTCAGACAGATAAGTAGGCAAAAATCACATTGTTGTGTGATTATATACAAGATGCAGTATAAGAACAAAGGAAAGCACAATTATCTCTGTCTGTGGAAGGGGTGGGTGCAAGGAAGGTGTCTTAGGAGAGATGATGCTCATGTTGGGCCTCAAAGGGATAGGTCAGAGTTTACCTGCCAGACAAGTTGGGAGAAGGACTTCTGGACATTGGAACTATCCTGTGCAAAGGTGCAGCCCAGCTAAACACCTTCTATAACTACAAATAGTTTAGTTCAACTCTGGGGAAAATGAGGGGCTTGGAACTGTCAGTCATAAGTAGCAAGAGACAAAGCTGGAGAGGTCAACAGTGTTATGGTCACAAAGGGCTTTCAACATTAGACAAAAGAGCTTGTGCCTTCTGAAGAGCATGGATGCCACTGATGACTTTTTAGTAGACCTGTGTTTTGTCATTTATCCTCACCCTTAGTTAGACTTGACTCCTTAAGGGCAGAGAGCATGTTGCCTGCTTTCCGATGCTTCACAGTGCTAGCAGAGGGTTAGGCACACAGAGGGTAGGTACTTAGGAAGGAGGTGGCCTCATCTGTTAGTCCTGGGACATGGAGGGCTAAGCAGTATGCTCTGCCTCTGCTTCTCCCATCCAGAGGCTTCCAGAGCAGCACAATTCCACATCCTTAGAGCTGGAAAGCCCCTACCAGTGTGGCTTCCAATGCCTATGACTTCTCAAGAGCCAAGTCTGGACTCTGAGCTTTTTGAGGACTATGACTTATTACTGAGCCTCCACTCTCCTAGCCAAGGCCTGGCAGCAAGTAGGTGTCCATTCATTGTTGAATGGATGAGCAGATAGTGGAATTTCTCCTCCTCTTCTCCCCATCTGCTGTGTTTTTTTTCCATTACCTTTCTAAGTATTTTTCATACTTCAGGGCTAATTTAGATCTGCTTACACAGTGAAGCTTCCCTAATTGTTTATGACTACACAAATACCTTCTTCCTTGAACTACGAAATAATATAGTATTGTATTCATTCACTTATAGAGTCATATTCTTGTGTTGTTCTTTAACTGTTCTATCTCAACCAGTTCAGTATGGAGGAGACCTGCCTAAGCCCAAGTTGATGGAGACAGAACCATGTTACACTCAAGTCTTCTGTTAGAGTTTATGCTTTATTGTACCCCCAGAATAGGGCCTGGGGTGTGAGTTAGCCACAAAGGCTCACTATGAGTCAGGAGTGTGACCCGATGTGGTTGTCTGAAGCTAATGCCATCATATGCTACAGTAATTATAATGTGCATGTTGGGGGTGGGGATTGCACGCACACAATTCTTTACTCTGTGAAACTAATACCTCTCCTGTAGTGTTCAGGATCTTGTGCTAGGGAAGGGACAGGGACAGGCTATATCCCATTGGAGAAAGTAGCCAGAATAGAAAGGGGGCTAGGAACCATGTCCAGCAGACCTGGAGTATCTGTTGTCCTCAGGCCTCTGAGGGTTCATCATAGAGCAGGGGGCAGAGCCGAATCCACAAAGGGCAGTTTCAGAGGGGCAGATTTTGGTTCAAGATACCAATAATCTTATGCCAATTAAAGCTGTTTGAAAATGGAACCTAGCCAACCTACACTGGGCGAGCAACCTGTCGTTAAAGTAGTGAAGCAGTGGCCAAGATTGCTATAATGAGGACTCTTGCATTGAAAGGGAGATTACCAATGCAAGCCTCTTCCCAATTTAGAGGCTGCCTCTTAGTAACACAGCTCTATTTTATACCCAAGAAAATATCACCTGGGTCAGCTTGCTGCCCAGTGACAGCCCTGGCTCCTCCTTGGCTGCCTTCTTAGGACAGAGACTCTTGGGCCACTTGCTGCTCTTTAACTTACCAGTCAAGAGATACTGCTTCTGGCTATTTGCTTCTAGTTTCACACCACAGAGGGAAGAATCAAAAGGGGTGTAGATATACTGAACATCCTTGACCTTCTCAAACCCTTTAAACATCTGAAAGGCAATTACAAAAAAATAATATTGAGTCAGTGAGTAAACATTATATTTTAACAGGAAAAACTCATTTCTCGACCTACAAAAATTAAGCAAAAAGTCTAGGATTTGGTGTACAGATAGCCCAACTGGATTATTTCTCTCTTTAAAAAAATCTGAACCTTGGTTTATTCCAGTGAGAGGAGTTACCTCTAGTAGCCCCCTGCATAGGCAGCTATAAGAAGAGAAGGACACTGAGGTTCTGTCCTGCACTGTCACTCGGATGATTTGAACCCCGGCTCCCAACATGTCATCCACTTCCATTTCAGCATCTACACCCCTGGATCACTGAGATGGGGTGCCTGATATACCAGCCCTACCCCTCCCAGAACACAGACCCCCCTATTCTTCCCAACAGTGCAGGGGGTAAAAGCCCTGTCCTGTCCCCATGTACCTTTATCTGTTTGATTTCATACCGGATCATTTTTTGAGTGTCAGCTGGGTCTGCACTGGCAGGAACTACCTTCTCACTGGAGATTTTGGCCCGGATGGCTGCATAGGAAGCAAAAAAAGGGAACCTTCAGTAACCTGTGGGAGCAGTCCATCTGGGATCTGGATGACCTGGAGCCCCTGGAGAATTCTGAGTTTAGGTCTTGTTGGGTCGTGAGAATGATGTGAGAGAGTAAGGACCTAGAAAGTCCTCCTATGCAGGCAGGCCTATTAGGTCCTACAGTCTCTACATTTTACCTGCTAGTTTTTAGAGTCTAGTTCTCCTTAGCCCAGGGTACCAGGGAGTAGAGATGGGCGTCAGGATAAAGGAGGGAGGAGGAGCCCCTGGAGGACAGTCAGTGTGCAGTCATCTACTGATGTAGCCCAAGGCCTAAAACAGCCTGCCCAGCATTTGTATTAGTACATGTTTATTGAATTAATAAATAATCTGACCTGCACAGGGGTAGTTCATCTCTTGCTATTTGGGCATTAATCAAAAACTGTTTATGAAGTTTTTCCTCTGTGCCTGGCCTAACACTAGGTATTGAGCCCATAAACATGATTAAGAGACGGTCCCCATCCTGCATAACTCTTGGTCTAATGGAGAACACACTTACAAAGAACAACAGCACAGCAGGAGCACTAAGATGTTAGAGATGCTGTGGTAGCACCAAGGAGTCAGGAAGCCTTCAGAGAGGAGGTACCTGAATAAGACCTGGAAGGATGAATAGGAGTTTGCCAGGAATTTAAAGGTAGGTGAAGGGGCATTCCAGGCAGAGGGAAGAGAAGGGGCAAAAGATGTGTGTTGGGGTGGGCACAAGGTGGAAACCTCGATTATAGGCTTGGACACAGAGGGCTGTTTATAATGAAAGCCCAACTCCCCGGCCCCTGGCTTCCCCCTCCCCCATCCAGGAGTTAAAATAATCACTGGGCAGTTCCAGTGACTTGTTCACTGACATCTTTAATTACAGTAGGCAGGTGTGTGTGTGTGTGTGTGTATGTGTGTGTGTGTGTGTGTGTGTGTGTGTGTAATGGGGGGCACACTGGAGGCCCCTTACACAGTCTTTATTTCCTTGCAAATAGCCAGCCTCTGTGCTTGCAAGGTTGCTATGGTGCCTGCCCTGCCTGACCCACCAGCCCCAACAGGAAGCAACTGGTGAGGGATATGAGCACCTCCTTTTCTCTCCGGGTCTACAGCTGGGCCCCATACCAATTCCACAGAACCACCCCCTCCTGTGGACCTCCCAGGCCTGTAGACTCACCAAGCGCGGAGTGGCAGAAGTGCTGCTGGGGGTGCGCTGGAGCGCAGGTGCATGCCTTGCTCAGCCCTGGCGGCCGCAGCAGTGCCAGCAGCCGCAGCAACAGCACCCAGCTCGGCATGGTCCGGGGGCTCCGGGGCATGACACTGCAGGGCCCCGACTAAGACAGTGGGGTCTGTAGGAACAAACAGCCCCTCCAGAGCTCCTTCAGAACGTGCCGCCCCTCGCCCTTGGCTTTATGAGGTAGACCTCGGGCCAATCCTACCCGGATGGGCTCCGCCCTCCTTTGGCTGTAGGCCATCTGCGGCTGCGGGACGCGGCCCTCTTGAACGGCAGGCTCATTAAGATGAAGAAGAAAGCCAAGAGAGAGGCCCCTAGCCTCTATTTCCCTGTCAGAGCAATTAAGCTTCCCAAAAGTGGAGGGATGGCGCTGGGAGAGGGAATGGTGTCATGGCAAAAAGAAGCGCAACAAAGACAAATGCTTGAGGCAAAAAGACGGAGGGACTGTGATTCAAGCATTGGGAACAGGAGTGAGGAGAGGCACAAGTAGAGTGAGACAGGCAGAGGCAGACAGAATTACAACAGGCAAAAAAAGATACAGTGACAGAGAAGGACGGACCCCTTGCTGAGCTGCACACTGGGAATAAGACAAGCTACTCAGGGCTTCTTTCAGCTGCAGGAAGTGTTTTCAATGCCCTATTTAGGAGGCTCCAAAGCAACAGTAAACAGTAATGGAATAGGACACAGAAAGTAGGGGTGTGTGTGTGTGTCTTGGCTCTGTTGGCTGGGGAATGGGGCGGGTGGTGGGGAGTGGGGGTGGAGGAGATGTCAGAGCAGCCAGTGCTTTAGAAACCCTTTCCCATACCCAGAGCCACAGACTGCAGATGGCTGAGGACAGTGCTCTTGGTGGGAGCTCAAAGCACATACTATCTCATCAGCTAGGGCAAAACTGGGACCTCTTCAGACCCTAGGCTACATTGATTGCTGTCTCATGTCACAACTCACCAGAGAGACTATGTGTTGTTATATAAGGCGGGGCAGCTTAGAAAACAAGCAAGGCACTTGGAGTAGTGCGACCAGAGCCTTGTCCACTCTGTTTGTCAAAGTATAGTGCTCCAAGGCTCCAAATACAAAGAGACTCACGGGATTATTGTAGTAGGATCATGCCACATAGTGCTGGACTAGAAGGTAGGAGGCTAGGTTCTGACTCTGTCACTAGGTAGCTTTGCAGCTTTTGCCTCACTGGGCCTCACTTTATTCTCCATAAAATAACGTTGAACTACATGATTTCCAAGTCCCTTCGAAGCTCTTTGCCCCAGCATCAGCTGGCCTCAGCCAAGAATACTGAAATCCTCAGGTCAGGTACTCCCAGTATCTAGTCACATGAGAATCTGACTTTTTATCAGTCAACATTATTTTCTTTAAAAGACATCTTTTCATTTCAATGTGGTAGTGATATTTGAAAAGAAGGAAATTGAAAGAAAGCTGAGCCTGACAAAGATGAGGTTTGGTGTCTGGGTTGGTTCAGCACACAATACTCATACCAATATAGAGTCTAATGTATAATTGGTCAGGATCTTCAACAGTGTCCAGTCCAGTCTCTTCATTTGGCATGTGTGAAGACTGAGGCTCAGTGAGGTGAAGTGACTTGCAGAAAGTCAGTGGCAGAGAGTACTAGAATGCAAGTCTCCTGATGTCAAGTTCCGTGCTCCTTCCACTCCACCGTATTACTTCATTCACCACCATTTTTTAACAGCTTGAATTCTTGCATTTGGAGGGTAGTAGTTCTTCTTTTAAGTTTTTATTGTTCCTCTGTTTGACTATAGCCACCTCAAGGTAGAGTTTATTCTCTTAAGGATCTCTTTCAAATGACAAACGTGTTGAATTTTTATGTCAGCTCTCTTCCAATCCCCAAGCAAGGCAGAAATAGGCCTCAGCATACTAAGCTGTGTTTGGTGGTGAGTTTGGGGTGTTGGTGAGCAATGAAGAGACTGTGAAAGGGGGAGAAAAGATAGGTTCAGTATAGGAAAGCTGGACCTTTGAAAAGGGAGGTGCATACAAAAGGGACATTAAGATTCCAAGATATATTCCTTTTGTAAATATGGTTTACAATGGTACAATTTTCATACAGTAAAATTCACCTTTTCAAAGATACATTTTACACATTCTCTTTGGCTATGGACCAGTCCTGCATGGGGGTTTGTCTAATGCAGAGAAGGTTGAAACAATACATTTTAAAAATGTAGAGAGTACCAAGTAGGAGAGCCAGGTTTTATAGCCCTGCAACTAACATGCTGTGATCTTAGGCAAGTCATTGTCACTCTATGGGCCACGGTTTTTTAATTTGTAGAGCAAGTAGGTTGGACTAGTTCTTTAAAGGGGCCTTCCACGGGTGTTCCCAAGAAAAATATTTGTAAGATTCTGCAGAGAGACAGGCATGCTCTAACCAATTCATTCCTTTCTCCTCTGCTTTCAGCTAACACTGCCCACATTCCCTGTGGTGGTGAAGATTGGCCATGCTCACTCGGGCATGGGCAAGGTAAGGCTCAGCCGGCTGTGCTTAGAGATTGAGGCACTTTTCATAGAGCCCAGTTATGGACTATTCTCCCACCTCTGTTACTGATGAATTCTTTCCAAGGAGAAGATGATTTGGCTTCTCCAAAGCCATTAATGTTACCCAATCAGGCTACCTGCTTGGTCCCTTGGGCTCTTTGTAGCAAGTGTGGCTCCTGAGCCCTGGCAGGAGAAACTAGAGAGAAGGATCCTCCTAGGGAGATATGGTACCCAGGTTTGCATCTGGATGGGAAACATCTTGATAGGTTTGGAGGCTCAGGGCTCTGGTGACTCTCAGCATGTATATATGTTTGTCTCATTTTCTCCCTCTATGCCTTGCTCCAACATTATTAGGTCAAGGTGGAAAACCACTATGACTTCCAGGACATTGCTAGCGTGGTGGCCCTCACCCAGACCTACGCCACAGCAGAGCCTTTCATTGATGCCAAGTATGACATCCGGGTCCAGAAGATAGGCAACAACTACAAGGCTTACATGTGAGTGGGGGTGGGGTCCCATTAGACACTCTTCACTTTCTTCTCAGCCCAGTAGAGAATCTGAGCCTTCAGATAGCAGCCAACTCTTGGTTTAACCTCATCCTGACCAACAAGGCAGAGAACAGAGATGGTGCCATTCAAATCGGAGTGTCTTAGCCTGGGTTCTTTTCAAGTGAGAGGAGGGGGTCCATGAACTAAAATGAGAAATAAAATTAATATTTATTTTCACTAGCCTTTAAGTGAAATATGGCATTCTCCTCAGTTATGAACGAAGGCAACAGACTGTAGCAGTAGCCACAACATGTGTGATTTTGTCACTAAAGGTAATCAGACTTTTTGTATTTTTGTACAGTTGTGACAGATATCTCTAAATACTAATTGCTGTTATCACTACTTAAGAATCATGGTAGTTATTAGACCTGCCACCACATTTACCCCTGTAAATATATTTGTTATTTAAAAAGAAACTTTTTTTACTAATTATTGATTTGCTTACTATTTTGATAATTCTATTTTGATAATTACTTTAAATAATTGAGTTCCTTTGTTATCCTATATAATTTATACATTTACACTTCTTATATATTTTATATTGTGAAAGGAGTCTGTATGCTTAACTAGGCTACCAGAGCACAGAAAAAGTTAAGAAACTCCTAATGTAAATATATAGCCCTAAAAACACTACAGAGCATTGAAAGCCTAATGGTTATGAACTGTATTCGTTTGCCAGAATGGAAAGTTAAAGGTTTCCTCCATTATAATTTAGAAAACAAAAGATTTCAAGACTACCTGATCTTCCATAATTAAGAATGCAAATGGATTACGATTCCAGTTTTAGAAATATTAACCTCCATTTATTTATTTTTTACAAAGAGAGAACATTATAATATATAAATTTGATCTTTGCCACCCAAGACACAGCAGACTTCAAGGTTGAGCAGCCTCCCTTTCCCTCCCCATCTGTTTTCATTTTGTGCTTCCCATCCCCTTTTTAGTGTTTCCACTCCTCACCCCTGGAGTTAGTTAGGAGCCCCTCCCTGCACTGCCTTCTCATAACCCTTCATACACCTCTAGCTTAGCACTTTTCATACATGTGAGTTCGTATCTCCTCTGAGCTCTCGGGCATAAATGATAGAATCAGCTCTGCAGTCCACTACCTTGTGCAGCAGCAGTCAAGCAGTAGGCACCCAATAACTATTCATGGAACAGCTGTTGTGGAAAACTGAGGCATAGGATCTTTTTTACCTTTATCAACTAGATTCCTACATTTTAAAAGTTTGTAATTTTTTATTTATAGTCTTTCTGCTTCAGAAAGAAATTTAGGCTTGCTTTAAAATTATGCACAATGTAAGACAGGATAATTGAAAAGACCGTTATAAAAACTACTTAAAAGAAGCAGAAAAATCAATATGTTCAGGCATCTAGAAAAGCAGATTTCCTGTCCTTTAATTTTAAAATCCCTAAATAAACACA